CAGGGTGCCGATGAATCTTCCAATGCATGAAGGAGAACGACCAAGTTATCGTGCGATTTCTAGATTGGAACGTCCAGTATCATGCAGAGCCTTGATCTGAGCTTGCTCATCTTCAGGAAGAAGTATGCCGCGAATAGACATGATGACGAAATGAAAACAGCAAAGTCGGATTGAAATCGGTGGAAATTTCGGCGCCAAAATCTGATCTTCTTCAAGTGTGCACATACTTTTGAAACAAAGAAAAAAATTCAATCCAAAATTTTTTTTACGAAAGTGAGGCGATATTATCTGCTTTGCTTCCACTGATAGGTTATCGACTACGAGAAATCGATTGAGAAGGATTTCATAGCACGAAACCTCTTGGTTACCTTTTATCGTGAATTTTGAGGTGTCCACATACTTTTGAAACGCACTGTATGTGTCTACTGGAAATTATCTACTACATAGTTCTCGTTAGTTTTACTTTATTTTATTTTACACTCTCCTTTTGTGACTGTATGCCTTTTAGGAGATTTCGAGGTACAAAATTGTGTTTGTGGTCCTCTTTGCTTCTATTTTAAAGCGCTGGCCTTGATGAGTAGTTATGATTTATAGGAATTTCTCATACTAAGTTACTGAAATACTCATGAAGTAGGTAGACTGCACGAGCAGAAGTTAAGAGGTTTTGTGAAACATGCACAGTGAAAGAACTGCGGCTTACGTCCCTGATGATGTGTCATTGCAGGCTTGACCATAAATAAACGTGCCACATGCATCTGTGACTTGGTCCCACTTATCTACATCTTCCCCCCCCCCCCCTTCGGTCCCAAGCAAGTGCCCACATTTCCGGTCTCGAGCTTGACCAGCACTTGAAATCGACCGCAATATAGACGGCCCCATCCTGTGCGAACTCCTTGTTTTCTTCGTTGCTGATGAGTTATATTAACCACTTCGCAAGGCAAGCGTTTGAAATGGTCAATGTGATATTTCGCTTGTTCTTCGAGCGGAGCTCAGTGTAACTGTCCACACTTGAATTTCAGCCACGCTAGCTCTTACAGAGTTCAACGATTTGTGGTGTCTTAGTTTGAGTTAACAGCTGATACACACCTTCGATATTAACTATCTTTCAAAGCACATTATTATAAATTTTCCGACCACATGTTTTACAACATGTATAATCAAGCGAGTACAAAAACGTTAACTATCTTTATTCACTAAGTGAAAGTAGCATAATTTATTTGAATTTATGTGAGATGGAATATTCTAATGTAGGCTCGGTTAAACTGTTCCAGAAAAATAAAGGTAAGCACAGTATGAGGCCCTAATCTCATATAATAAGGCGTGAACCCTTTCCAAAGGCGAACACTTTCCTTTTTCAATAGCTGAAACATGAATTTCATGCCCGACTCAGTTGAGGGTAACACAGTTAAAGGTCTTACTTTGATGCAGACGTCTAAGGGACCAGTGTATTCTGGCACTCCATCTATGATCTTCATTGCTTGGATTCTAAATAAACCCACTGAAGTGTGCCAGAAAAAAAAGTTACAAAGATTGGGGTCTAAATCATAGTTGGAGGTTAACCGGGTTTTTAAATTGTCGCGGGCATGGTGTTTGTGCTGTGGCATGCCGCAATCATGGACCAAGCGCGAGAAGTGGCAGCATATTCCCTGACAAGATGCAGATAGTTGGCCCTTGGATGCTGTTCAGACAGCAGTCGAAAATTTTGTGAAGATGTCAAGTATGGACCGGTATTCACTTTTCTGAGCAGGGTTGCTGATTATGATCAATGTGGTTACACGATCAAGAAACGACTGTTATTAAACCAACAACAGTCGAAAGGCTGGGTTACGTAGGATTAGGATTCGGAAGCTTTGCAAACGTGAAATACGATTTGGCGAATTTTTGCCAGAAAATCCTTGCATGAAGAAAGGTTTACACAGAAATTCTCAAGTAGGAGACTCCTAATGAGGTTCCCAACTTCCCCTGCCGATTACCCCGCACCTGCCCTTTTTGGCACCCTCTAACTCTCTGTTCATATTCATGGTGTCCCAATGATTCGCACTCTTCTCCAATCCTATCCCAACTTGACAAAAAAACCTGAATGAACACATTTTGCTGATTTCGACGCTAAGGAAAAGTGAATTGTTATATATCGGGCTCGAGTGCAACATATATTTATGCTACGGTAGAGACGACCGTTTCCGTCATTTCTACATGACCATAACAGAGACGTTATCGAAAAGCCATCGTTGTTCGCGATCACTTACCGTTAGAGGGACATTCCATTTCAAGTTTTTATCAAGTTTCAAGAATTGACTCCCGTCGATCACATTTCAATTTCAGGTCCGTTATGGAGATAAGCGGCGGACCTGTGCGAGACAGCATAGATTGCAGGCTGTCGCTGGCAGCAGAATATTGAATACTCTCCCAAAATCAATTCATCCAATTCACGATTCACTTACGGAGAAGAGTGGGTCAGACTTCCTTCATCGAAACAAGACTGTGCTTAGCTTTGCACTGATTGAAGAAGCAGACATAGTCCTTGCCAGCAAACCATGCTCACATTTTTTCTTGAGGAAAAAAATAGAAAAGAGCAGACAAAGATAGAGAAGCATCACTTCTGGATGGTGCGGCTAGATGTATAGGCAAAACGACCACTGCAGACTACAACAAAATGTCTGAAGTCAAAATTTTCAAGTGTCTCAAAATTGTCTAGTAACTCATTTCAGGACTCAAAGCTTTTCTCGGATGTTTGCCACGACCATGTGCTTATCAGGAAGCTTCTATAGTGTCAAGCGATTTAAAAAACTGATTGTGACCTCACCTCCGCAGGTGGCGCGTACTCTATAAGCGTCAGAAATTCAAAAACGACTAGATTAATGGAGCTACCACGTGATTTTGAAAGAATCAGAGTCGAAAAAAGCGGCGGCTTTACAAAAGCAGTAAAAATATGCGGTAAAATCGGTAAACAATCATCTATTTGTTCAATTCCATTCACATCATGGCTCAGGTGTTCCACGATTGACTCCTCACAACAATTCCTCCACATCAGGGTATCGGTAAGTAAAAACTAGCCATACGCATTTTTGGAGTTGTCCTCTACAGCTTGAAGAAGGGTTTTTGCAGAACGCATTAATGCAATAATGCGAAGCGAGAGATTCTCAAAGCGTTTTCAGCCTACTTTCGTCCAATTCAGGTCCAATTCATTGTGTACTCTTAGGTCATTACGATGCTTATGGAATGATGATTTTCGACAATTAAATCTTATTCTTGTATCCAGGGGGTGAGCAAAAAGTCACTTCCCTTAACATTCAAAACGCAATTAATTACAGGTCACAGAATCATACCAACTGAGCCCAACAAGTTATCGAAGAACACATTCTAATCTATCGAAAAGTTAGATAACAGCCTTCACCACCGACGACATAGTTTTCCCATAGAAACATGGTTCACGATACAAGCTGAACGAGGTCGTCGGGGTACCATAGCCCACCACGAGCCCTAACTGCGTGGGCGAAAATCGGCTCTGCATTTCACAGGTAGTGTCTCTGAGAAGCCGTTCTCCACTTAATTGATTGAAAGTTAAGCTTCAGGCCGGAGCCATTGCGGTAAGCCTCGTAGCTCCACGGTGACCGCAGATGACGTCGTATTCTAAAGACGGTGGTGGCAGTTGAAGGAATACCTGCTTCGGCTCATGGAGACACCTAAGAAATATTTCTGCCGTGAGCATTCGGTACAACAACGGCAGCCTGATACGACAAAAAATTTGATGATGTGCGCGAAGTGACTCCTTTTGCCCCCCCCCACCGTGAAACTCAGCTTTACCAACTCGTTTCTACTATCATAAATCTGACGTGCCTGAATATGTGGCTATTAAGTTTGCTACACTTTGCGAAATCTATTGTGAACGAATTGTACTTATATAGCTCTCTTCTATACATTGCTAAGTTTTTTATTTACGTATCTCATCACCATCTATCTCACCTCTTATAACAGGGCGCTGCACATAATGCGATATGAGTGAATGTATGATATAAGTATACGATACATATCGTCGATATTTATACCAGTTTAGCTCCGCACACTACCGCGTGCATGACACGGAAAAGCTCCGTAAAGCTGACCAACCGGCGGAGCGTTAGGTTCCGCCGCTGACCAACAACTTGATTCGTGAAATGCGTTAGCTGGCCTTCCATAGAACGCCCATTCTTAAGCCAATCGTCTAATACGCGCGGTGGATTGCGGAGCTAAAGTGTTGCTAAACAACCACCATTTATTGGATATCAGGATGATTTAGCGGTCGAATAATATTGATGCCAATGATTTTGCAATGGAAATAACCATTATCGTATATCGCTAAACGTCCATCATACATTCTTAGAGACTTTGGGATTGTAGCGGTCGAACGTATTTTATGTTGATGACAACAACGCAATGAGATGATATTGAAGTGAATTGCGTTATCTAGAATATGGTTTGAATGGATCTCTATGTTCCTACGAATAGCGCAATTATCGGCCCTTATCACTTCCTGTACCCCAACGAACATGTTCCGGTCCCACCCTGTACATCACTTCTTGGAACAATGCCCACGGGCATGCGCCGTGCGCTATGATTTCGTGAAAGTTTGGTCTTCAGCGCATCGTTCAGATTTGTCATTTGGTATCAATTCTCAACCCACAAATATAATCCGATCCCCTACACCATAGTCAAACACAGCACTTCGGAGAAGCGCGCTTTGATCTTTGTGAAAACTATACGTTTCAGCGCTCTTAACTCAAACCTATCGCTCTTATCACTATACGATGTACCAACGAACATGTTCGTCCCACCCTGTACATCACTTCTTGGAACCAATGCCCCACTGGTACTGGGACGTGCGCTATGAATTTCGTGAAATTTGCGTTTCAGCGCCTCTTATCAATCTTATCAGTCGGTATCACTTTCCAAACTCACACCAAATATGTTGCCGTCCCACGCTGTCATCAACTTTTGCCGAACAACGGTCCCACTGCTGGGACGTACGCTATGAATTTCGTGAATATGCGTTTCAGCGCCTCTTATCAGATCTTATCATTGGGTATCACTTTCTAAACCCCACCAAATATAATCCCGTCCCACGCTGTACATCACTTCTTGGAACCAACGCTCCACCACTGCTGGGACACGCGCTATGAATATCATGAAATTGGCGTTTTGGCGCCTCTTATCAGATCTTATCAGTCGGTATCACTTTATAAACCCCACCAAATATGTTGCCGTCCCACCCTACACCTGTCAAAGTACAGGTTCAAGCTGACACAGCGACGCGCTATGATTTCGTGACAGGACGGACGTACACAGACGACACGACACAGAATACTTAGCGGATTATATTGTAGTAATCATTCTTATTTCATTTATCCACAATGCCCCGTGAGTGATATGACGAGAACCTTGAGCCCATTATCACCAATCTCTTTGGCCGGGTGAAAAGCGTTTAATAGCCGTATCGAAGTATGTAGGTTCAGCAGCTTTTCTGAACTTAAACTCTCCGAAATTGCAGAGTCTTCCATAGACAGACGAAGGGCACAATGCAGCGAAGCAGCCTGAAAATTTAATGGAGAACCCTTACTATTTTAACCATTAACAATTGATATTAATATCCAAATGTTGATTATGACGGAAAGATGAGATTGCCATTAACTACTGTTAAGCCTTTACCAGGTTTGTGCATGTGGAAAGAAAGTGACCTTTTCATTGTGAAAGACGAGTTCATATGGTGCCTTCGAAGTGTTTTCATTACTCCATCAACATCAGAGTTAGGTGTAACGTTTTGTGTTACTTCGAGTGGTAACACACAGACGTTCAAGCACACGATTTATGAGAAACGGAAAGAGAATCTCTGAGCAGCCAGAGGTTACAGATTACGAAATCTCAAAGAGTACTCCCCACACGTCCACACACTCCATGTTTTTACTCCTTTTTAGCAACAAATAACCTTCAGAGCCGGACTGAAAGTGCGGCGAGAAAGGATATATGGATATAACTAACGCGTAGTTTGAATTACCGTCGTGGAATTTCCCTGTTGCAAGAATCATCTGTTTGGCTTGCGAGTATGTGGCCAGTTGTGCCGCATTTACTACCATAGCCCGAATCACAGTTGGAGTGCAACCCTTCAAAAGATGGCAAATTAGCTCTTTCAGGCAATCTTTTTTCAGATGGAAGACCTAAGGAACTCACGCGGAAAAGAACAAGAACTCCTTCTTCTTTTATGACACGGATCAGCGCGTCAACGACGTTTTTGTAGTTTCGCCTTTGCTCAGGCGGCAAGTGCCCATCACCTTTAATAAACCGACAGCAAAATTTAGCGCTTTTCATATTTCAAAAGAAGAAGATTCAATAACTTGTGGATGGCTGCTGATATCGCATCGAACCTTCTTAGTGTAGGGATATTGTCGCTCATTTTTTGCTGACTACTGGTATTCCGTGAATTTTCATTAATCAGTTACAGGAGACGGCACTCGGACCTAAGTCGGTTGACAATCTAGCCTTTCTTTACAGTAGTTACAGTTTACAGTCCTTCTCCATGCCGGTTCTTAACGATGACTCATTCTAGGGTCCCTTTGCAAATTGTCTTCCACAAAAGCCGCGGATTCAACATATGAAGTGGGGCACGGAGCAAGCTTCGCCGTCAAACCATTCCCGGCCTTCGTGACTAATCATCATTCAAAAAAGACTATCAAATCACAAGAATGCTGGGTTGTGAACAAAACTTTCGCCCCAGGCGGGACTAGAACCCGCACCTCTCGCGAGCGAGAGGTGCGGGTTCTAGTCCCGCCTGGGGCGAAAGTTTTGTTCACAACCCAGCATTCTTGTGAAACATTCGCAAGGCGAACTGCGGCCAAAAACAGCAGTTAACAAACAAAAACAAGTCAAAAACTATCAAATCAATTTTTCGATTTGAGGGTGAATTTTGCTGCGAACGTGTCGAGTTTCATGAAAACGTGGTCGCGTTTTCTTCCTGCCTGTCCATAACCTCCAGAAAATCAAGAGAATATCGAAGCTCAGCTGATTTATACCGCCATTAATCCCAATATGCGAATCGTTCGAAAAGAACGAGTGTTATAATTCCTCTACCTTGCACTGTTGTCTGAATTGCAACACTATAACATATTCTCTGCTGCTCGAGAATTAAATATTATCAAACCTGTCATACGAATGAGTGCTAATTCTGCGGGAGTCCCTACCAGTGCTCCACAAGCGCCAGCTCCCATTCCCAGAGATGCTTTCACAGGAAACGAAAGTGGTTGATCCTTCCTGGAAGAACCTTTATCTATCTGTCAGCACACGATCTCTTATGTTTCCCCGGGAGTCCTCATATGTACATAATGAACCCAGTCAAACCAAATTTGCTTCAACAACAAGCAATAACAGCAATCATAGGGATCCATAGCGATCTTTATCAATTGACCGTTGCTGACCATCGACGGAAATAGTCAGGAACGCTTATATATCAACCAGTTTAGCTCCGCACGCAACCGCGCGCATCAAATGGTGGGCTTTAGTGAAACTGGACAACTTGCAGAATATTAGGTCACGTGACTGAGAAACTAACAGTAAGATGTTTTGGAAGATGTGTCACATGATGTTTAAAGGTTGTCCAGTTTCGCTGAAGATTGTCGCGTATGCGGAATGAGAAATGGTACTTATCATGACTTCGTAAACATTTAGCATTGATATCGAGCTCGGGCGATTTAGCGGTTTATAGAATTCCCACAATTGAAGAATCGGTGTGTAAGTGGAATATAACCAATCAATCAGCATCAAACCGATGATTTAACACATTGCGTACCAGGCCGTTTTTGCGCTGGCGAGCTCGCCTGGCCGCGCGTGCATGCGCATCGTGCGCCACATGGTGGCGCATGCGGCCACACGGGGCAGACATTTTTGGAAATCCTTTTTAGAGGGTGCTTTTTCACTTTGTTTCCTTATTATCTGGGTAAATCACAATTTTATGAGAAGTGCGTCATAATTTTTGCCTGCTTGACTTGTGATAAACATTCCAAATAGCTATCGAATGATCATGTAACAGCGATGGTGAGGGATCAAAAAATCTGCTTGGACCAAGTTCTTATAAAAAATAGCGATGGCAACAGGTTCGTTCCTTCACCCCACAATCTATTTAAGCATGTTTATTGACCAGCAGTGACGTTTATTCAATTTACAGGATATTCGTAGACGCATTTCACCCTTCACTAGACCTTGGATTAAGGTGGGTATATTACACCCACAATTTGCCGTACATTTATCATCGATTTTGATACCAGGGTAGAGTGAGCATGAGTAGGTTTTCAAATAGAGGTTACTTTGAGTGCCTAATACCACAAGACTTGAAAAGTATACAGCTGAAAGGCATGTGAGGTGGAGGAAGCGCTCCGAAAGCACTTACGCTGATGTTTTGTTGGCACATCACTTTATTCACGCTAAGATTTCGGCTGAAACAGATTATTGCGACTCAGTTGTATTACAGCTAGATTGCGGTGACTGCTGAATTTGCTTCAAAGAATGTGTTTTATTCAAGCAAACTTAATTGGCAACCAGGCTTTTATTAGAATGTCACGTACAAGTAGTAACTTATTGGCTGGAAACGTCCCAGTCAAGTATGTTGTTCTCCTGGTGAGATAACATATGCCTGCACAAACATGGAATAAACGACTACAGCAACTGTGAAGAAAATCGATTCAGAAATCGTGCGCCACCATGTGGCGCACGCGGTACGCAATGTGGAAATTGGAAATATGATTTTATTCGCTATTAGTCCAAGTCCAGATAGTGGAGCAGCTCAACTTCCTTTGCTTTTTTAGATGAAAGGGTGGAAATGGAACATATTCCCGTGCTAGGAATCTGGTTTCAGTTTAACCGAGTGCACACTCAATTGTCGCTATTTTTATTAGTGCACCTGCCTTTCATACCCCTTTCTGTCACCCACATTCACCGTATCTCCGTCCCATCTTGTAGCGTGTAGGAGCTAATATTTACTGTCACCACGAAGGCTACAACGAAATCAGCGGTACTCAAAATCCTAACTTCTTTATCAACCGTTATCGGTTGTTATCGCTTTTGATCACCCACTATCCGTGTTCCCGTCCCATCCCCTATACCACATGTGACAGCCAAGGTTCCAATGTCACCGCGAAAGCCGCAACGAAACTGGTAGTATCCACACTTTGACGCCCCTTATCAGTTCTAATCAGTTGCTACCACCTTCTTCCAATCACCCTTTTGGTCCCTGCCTCACCCCACATAATATTCATGAGTGCGAACATCTTAGGGTCAACGCAAAGGGCGTTGCGAAAATGACGACGTTAGCATTCCGATGCCCTTTATCAGCCCTTATCATTTGCTATCACTTTCCTTCGCTCACCATTTGGGTCCCAGTCCTACCCTACACAATATTCATGAGTGCTAGCAATCCACTGCCAACGCGAACGGCGTAAGGAAGTTGGTGACATCGGCATTCTGACGCCCGTTATTTTGTTATCAGCTTCTATCAGTGCTTATCACGTTCCGCCACCCATCATCAGTGTTCACGCCCGACCCCCTATATACCCTAGAAGTTTGAGCGCTCTGGGTCCAAAGGGAACGAAGTTATGAATTTCCGGTCACACACACACACACACACACACACCACACACACACACACACACCACACACACACACACACACACACCACACACACACACACACCACCACACACACACACACACACACCACACACACCACCACCACACACCACCACACACACACACACACACACACACACACACACACACACACACACACACACACCACACACACACACACACACACACACCACACACACACACACACACACACACACACACACACACACACACACACACACACACACACACACACACACACACACACACACACACACACACACACACACACACACACACACACACACACACACACACACACACACACACACACACACACACACACACACACACACACACACACACACACACACACACACACACACACACACACACACACACACACACACACACACACACACACACACACACCCACACACACACACACACACACACACACACACACACACACACACACACACACACACACACACACACACACACACACACAACACACACACACACACACACACAACACACAAACACACACAACACACAACACACACCACACACACACACACAAAACACAACCACACAACACACACCACACGCCTCGTATATATAGTAGATTCTGCTACGGACGCTTTAACCGCTGAACGGTTCACATTGAACTTCTGTCATCACAGGAGCTACGATTATTGGGCTTGGGCAAGTGCACGTTAACGAGCGGGATAATTTCAAACCATGCTGAACACAACCTTTTAAAAAAGGTCAATATGTGAGGAACGCACTGCTTGAGCTTCATCTAGAATCAAACAAAGCGTTACGCAAAGTTTCAAGCACGGTCGACCCTCTCATCCTTGTCTAGGGACACTACACTAGTCGTAAGAAAAATGTGCGGAAACGTGCGGAAATGTGAGACTTTACCTACTTCGTAAATTTTTCAAGCATCCACGTGTAAATGCCAAGTCTCGTTGTAGTGTAGGTTGCTTGCCTTAGCAATCCAGCGCTCAAGCCATTGTAAAGCTCCATTACGCCTTCGTTTTTGACAATAGTCGATAGAGCATGGAAACTTGATTTGAACTTCTTTTCACCTAAAAAAGGCTCCTTATCAACTGTCCACATGTCTACGTGGAACGATCGACCAAGTTCGGGACACTACTGAGAGTTACGCTTGAAAATTACCACTTTTCTCTCTTCGCGATGAAAGAATGAAAGGACCGATATTGTGCATCTGGTGAGCAGGTGTGATATGTTACAAAGATGGAGTTTGGCGACGGCACGATGGTACCACACGCGGATTGGGCGACATGCGAAGTAGGATGGTACCAGAACTTTCTCTGTGTCTGCCGACTTACGACGCTACGTGAGTATTACAAATTTCTAACAGTAATCGCTGTGCTTCATAAATGTTTTCTTCAATCATTCCTGTTCCACTTTCCTGAAACTCCTCTGCAGTCCATGTAATCTGGTTAGAGGCGTGCACGGCTTCATAGGCGTTCAAAGATCAAATCGTGCTCAGGTCCATCCCGAAAATCAATCGCGTGGATAGGTGGAGATGTCGCGCGTCCTGTTTCTAATGTTTTGATTGTTCCTTTAACTCTTTTCTCAACTGGCGATTCACTTCGCATACCCACTTCTATGGGGTGCGGCAAAGGTATTGACTGCTTGTCAAAGCCTGCTACAGCAAGCAGAAAAAAGAGAGCTGCATCAATTTTGCGAAAGTGACAAATAATAAATCCCCTAGTACGCCTCTGAAAGTGCCTCTGAAATTTGATACGATTACCTTCGGCCCGGACACACAGAGGGAAGGTGGGAGAGAGCATACGCTTTAGCACGCACGTAACGCTTATTAATCAAAATCGCCCTTGCTCTCGTTAGAACAAGATTGTTTTGATTGCTACTAGTAACGCAGACTTAGCTTTCTAAGACAATCCAAACGAAAATTGACGGGGGTTGAGTGTTGTAGACGTGCAGGTCGTTTTGACGACACTGTTGCACTGATCGCGATATATGACCGAACTGGATCCTGCTGGAGGACATTCGTATTACCTAAATGAGTTATGACCGGTGACGTTCACGCTTAGAAATTGTACCACTGAAGCACATCAACTTGATCGTGAGATGTGCTTCAAAAGCAAAGTCCGGGTGATGATGTACTGATGTAGAACTGCACTTGCGAGTGAAGGTGTAGATGTGAAATGTTACGCCAGCAACAGAAAAACGTGATAGAACCGTCGACATGGTCAAAATTGAAACCCTTTTAAACACTAGTAACAAAGCGAAACAGAACTGGTTTGTGGACGGGCTTAATGGTACTGGTCCGGGCCAATGTGCATCTCAGAGCCTCAACGTCTCGAATTTTCAGACCATTCTGTAATTTGAGTAGGTGCTTCTTACATGCGACCAGAGACCTTGTACCTTGCCTTCAACTGCAGGCCTCTTCCGATTTAGGCAAAATTTCACTCTTCGTGTGTTTTAACCACTTTGTCTGTACATCAACATTTACGAAAAGGCAAAAACTGAGGAAATTGTCTCAGTTCGTAAAAGCCACTGGCCAGGGTTGGGTGCTCAGCACCAATCCCTCCGCGAGTGAGAAAGAGAGGTCTCCGAGCGACACTGTCCCCTTACATGTACTCGGCAAGGAAGTGCCTTGCCGGCGCTACTACTGCTTCCATAGCAATTTTCGCTTTTTCTCTTCATTCGACGTTCCTCATCGCACTTCTTATTTAAACTTCAAGATAAATCCTACACATACCCAGTAGGCTAAGCGTGTCTGTTAGTGTGTGTATTTTGATCCAGAAATTAATAGCGTTAGGGGTTGGTTCCAAGACATGATATAGAGAGTGGGACGGGAACATATTTGGTGGGTGATGAAAAGTGATAAGAATTGATGAAAGCGATTAGGTTGGAAATGATGGGCCGCTAAGCTTGTTATCTAGGTGTGCGATAAAAAAGAAGTTTTCATTTCGCTTGGCGAAGTTCGTCCGTGTACATCTCAGTCAATTTCGACCGCTATCTGACGCCGTAGATAAGCATGTGGTTTCTGTTCTATGTCATGGTAATAAGAAGATCATTCGACTGCCCAAACTATGAAAAACCGAAGAATAGACTGTTTCGCCAACGTCTTATGAGAGGCAGCATTGTGTTAGTTATACAAGCTTATTCGGCCGCAAGACCATGCTAGCTCTAAAAAGATGATGGCTGTGAATGGGTAGACGAGCTGTGGTGAATGACTGCTTTATCACTTGCACTATAGTGACCTTTTCTTGATAACATTACTCAGATCAACCAAAAGCATACATACTGTTTAAAGGTAGGATTTACAGTGAAACGTTAGCTCATTGGAAATAAGGGTAGAGGTGGTCAGTGGAGCAGGGATGAAGAAAAACCATTTGAAACGGCCCGAAACCCGAGAAATGGGACCCTTTCCTTGCCCGTTGATTTGCGCATTGATGCGACTCTCATCGCTGTGCCCTCTTCACACTACGCTCTCTCTTGCTCTAATCACTCGCCAGTCGAATCACTCGCCATGAGACCTGGTGAGTGATTAGATTGTGGTGGAGCGTAACCCGCCAACCGCGCCAAGAGTGAACCCATGCTAGATCGCCTAGGTCAAATCTTTCGGTGCCAATTGCGCGTCGGTCAGCACCCTCAGGAGGTCCGCCTGTCTCCCAGCTATGCAAATTTCTCCCTTCTTTGACCTTCGTTTTATTGTGAATTCCCCCTTTAACACAAGAGCTCGACTATGCTCATTTTTGTTACCGGCCTACTTTGACATGCGCGCGGTAGCGAGCGGATCCGAAATGGTGGCACGATAATCAAAACCCGACCCGTGCCTTCAATCAGTGGATCGGTCAATCGACTGGGGAAATGTAATGATCTCACCACTTTTGCCGGCTAGTTGCATACGATTCTTCACGAGATCCAAGGGCTGAACAAAACATGTTGCAGCCATCCTGAACTAAGCAGTTATTTTTTCTCCACTGCGTGAACAATACACTAATTACCTGCTTAGGTTATACCGATCTTCAACCAACACCACACTACACAAAATATTTTCTACAGTCGATATCCGAAAGTTGGGGTAGGCGTGTCACCGGAAATGACGTGCACTTGATAGAAGTTGCGTGGATAAGCTGTTGCCAGCATGCTTTGCTGATATCCAGCGATGTATGTTGGAAGCAGCTTATCCACATAGCTTCTATCAAGTGCACGTCACTTCCGGTGACACGCCTACCCCAACTCTCGTGTATGAGCACTATAAAACACCTCTATTCCCTTCGAACCGAATAAATGCATCAGGCTGAACAGACCGCGGAGAGAAATCATTGGACACACCAGCAAGATAGATCGCGTGTACAAAAAGCAAATACTGTGCAATAATTGTTTTACAGAACTTTCCAAATTCATGACATTAAACGGGTGCCAACCTTATTCTCCTGTTTCAAAGCAAGTGGGTTATATTCAGTGGAGTCTACTGAAGACGATGGACTGCTACAAGTATCACTAAAACAATCGATGAATTAAAGAAGATCCCAGGGAAAGCTCGATGTCACCTACCTACACAACAGGCCCGATGCGTTTCCGAAATGAATTCACGCAGATATAAACACAGAGAGCGGCCAGTCCAAAAAATGATGTTGTATTCTGTTTGATAAGTTCCTATGAATACATTGCTTGGTGGTCCACGTGTGTCTTCCTGGCCGCATTGCTTTTCCATGAACACTTTATTTTTGTTACCGTAATTTTTGCCCACCCTGTAAATAATTTAGCTCAGCTCTGTGGCAACTTTCAGCTCCATTTTGCAATCACCAATTTCTTGGTATCGCTAAGCAATAAGCTTTACCAGCTTTTTTAGTGATACAATTCAGTGCTGACTACTTTTTACTGCGCCATATTCGGCCTCTACAAAATTTGGGGATCATTTGCTTGTAGGATTACTTCTTACTGTACGGGCTCCACCAAGCAACCGAAACGGAACAGAATACCAACAAGGCTTTTGAGCAAAGCCCACCAGCCATTCATCACAATGCAGAGGTTCGGGAAAATGAAAAAAGGGAACTATTCCTCGAACAATGAAAAAGTCAATTCTTCTAATGAATTCGCTAATGCGTTGCAGAGTCGCTGACGTAGTATACAAAATCAGTCGTTAGACTGCACATGAACTGATCAACGCAGACTACCGATAGCATGTGAACTCTGCCACAAAACTTTTCTCTCACCCTTTTCTTCGATTGAGTATTTAACAACAATTACGATGAAACCTCCGCGTCTCAGCTGGCGAAGGGCCCACGCAAGGACGACGCAATTTGTCTTCGTCTACACTGCGTTGCAAAATATAAATCCACCTGGAAAGTTCTTGAAAATTCGCATGATAGGGTGTTTCTGAAAAAGCCTTTGAAAGAAAAATGTGCTCAATATAAATATAATTTCGAGTGTAAACACCAACTTCCATTTCGAAAACACGAAAATTTTTTATTTTCATTTTTCAGAAAAGGGCCACTTTGCCGATTGTGCAAAAATATAAATCCACCCCATGTTTCTCGGTTGAACTTCATTGTTATTTGGCGTAACTGTCAGGTTGTTTCCACTTCCTTTTCTTAGGTGATGACGGAAGTAACACCGCTGTCGGGCTCAGAAAAAAAGGCAAAATCTACAAAATAGTGGGGAGATTTGCCGTGCAGTCAAATCGCGCGTGATTTGAGCCCCGTTAACATGGTTGTTAAGCATTTCGTCAGGAACTCTGGCTAGCATGTAGATAAGAGGCAAGATTCCTGCTAAGAGACACTTCAGCCCTTAAAAAACCTAATTTCTTTAAAGTCACCGTTTGGCGTGTGTTGAAGACTTTTGAGACGCAACTTCGACGGAAAATGAGATGGCCCAGTTGAAGACACTAGACTACGCCAGCTGCATTAAGTTCGGCTTTCTACACGCTACTTTTTACTGTCTGTCTGAATTTCTCTCAGTTTTTTTTTCTGCAGTGTGTTTGGCAGAGACAGGAACTCATATTGAAAAAGGAAACCAGTAAGAAAAGTGAAGACAGCCATCAAAAGGTACTGCGCGGCCAATATGGCCTCGCTCCGGCCAGATCGACCACTGATCTTGGGAAACTTGGCTTGATTTTTGCGATGATTCCGGATTTTCAAATGTGTCCTACTCATTTTCCGTTGAACAGTGGTCTCAGAGTTCCTCTAACACACGCCCAACGGTGTCTTTCAAAAAATTAGGTTTTTTTGAAGGTTGAGTTCCTGAGCACCCCTTGGGAGAATCGGCTGCTTTTCCCATAACACTACGGTCATCGCAACTGAAACGCGAAGAAAAGGGTTCAGTGCTCTTCTGGATTCCACATGCTGCAGAGTTCTGACGAAAATGCTTAAAGCGAGAGATTACGATAAAGTGCGTATGCAGCGTGGAAGTACATGCACCATTGGAAGCAGTAGTCAGGGGCCCAAGGAAACGAAATGTTGCGTTTTTGTGGTCAAAGGTGCGCTAGTTGCAGCGTACAAGGCTTGCCATTCCTTTCTGAGCCCCGCCACGGTCTGTGCTCCGCCCCCAGCAGCAGCGCCCTTCGATTGCCAATGTGACGAGATATTCCACTTCCAGAGTGTATCCTATAACTTTTCATGGGATGCGTGATCAATCAAAGCATGATGCTTGCTGAAATGATAGAGGCTATCAGCATAACATGTGCAAACGACCTCCTAATTGGTTGCTAGCTCGTCCATTATCGGAGGTCAACGGGCAAAGAAAGGGTCCCATTTTGCGCCTTCTTGACGGATTTCTTTGCTTTTTTCGCCACTGGGGCATTATTCAGCATCTCCACTTCCACTATGAACCCAGTCCAAACTTATCGTAATCCCTCGCTTTAAACCACGTAAACGGGGCTCATATCACGCGCGATTTGACTGCACGGCAAATCTCCACTCCACAACACCCCACACCTCCCCACCCCCCCCCCTTCTATTTTGTAGATTTTGCCTTTTTTTCTGAGCCCGACAGCGGTGTTACTTCCGTCATCACCTAAGAAAGAGGAAGTGGAAACAACCTGACAGTTACGCCAAATAACAATGAAGTTCAACCGAGAAACATGGGTTGGATTTACATTTGATACCAACCAACCCCACACACCCCCCCCCACAAACACGCACACAGCCTTGCCCTCTTTTGAAAAATGAACCACAAAAAATTATTCGTGTTTTCGAAATGGAGAGGTGTCTCACGTCAGAGATCACCACCTCTCCATAATTAGAGCACATTTTTCTTACCAAAATGCACTCTTTTCAGAAATAACCCCGCTAAACGCCGCACTTCTCCTCACAAGCACTTTCCAGGTGGATTTAATATTTTGTGCACCGTCAGTGTACGTAAGAGCACACCGGAGACTGGCAGTCGTCGCGAGATCGGACAACACTCTTCATACTCCAACTCACCGCCTGGAAGAGACGAACCAGAAACTTCTGCGCAGGATAACAGTTGAACTGAACCCCTCTGAAGTCTCTGCTCCGCGGAACTGAACCACTTTGAAGTCTCTGCTCCCCCATCTAAGACTCCGGACCCGTTTTTAGCAGCAAGAGATGTTGTGCGCCGTCTAAAAGCCACAAGGACGGAAACAAATTGATAACTATGCAAACCTACTTGTTTACTCGGTTAGTCGCCAAACGAATGGCATCCTTTTCCTTATAGCCTAATAGCCTAATCGCATGTGCGCACGTTGCCGCTGCGTACTATCGTAAGAATTCTCGGTTAATCTACATTACACTTACGTTTGTTTTTTTCATCTTTTCATTCTCACAAGGACTGTAAGATAGCACCAGAATGCCCTGCCCATGAAGAAGAAGGATCGCTTACCCAGCAGAACCTCCAAGTATGAATTTTGCCGATTTAGGGATTTTTTTATCCGTCGCCATTCATCGACCACAGTGAAAAGCGTCGTCTGCAATTGTTCAGTTGGTGCAAAGATTCTCTGACAGATTTGAGAAGCTTTAACTCACAGCCTTATAGAAAAATGCACCACTTCTCTCGCAGAAACTTTAGAAATGCTTTGAATACCTCACCATTCCAAAATTATGCAGCAATCCATTCATTCGTAAACAGACTTTATTCTTCAATGCTTCAGCAGGAGCCCTTATCTAGCCACTTATGCTGGATGAATGAACCTACAGTCGATATCCGAAAGTTGGGGTGGGTGTGTCACCGGAAGTGACGTGCACTTGATAGAAGTGCGTGGATAAGCTGTTGCCAGCATGCTTTGCTGATATCCAGCGATGTATGTTGGAAGCAGCATAGTTTCTATCAAGTGCACGTCACTTCCGGTGACACGCCCACCCCAACTCACCGATATCGAGTATAAAACAAAATATAGGTTGGTCCATAGTTTACGAAGCGCCTCACATCTATTAACAATTTTTTAGAAAGTTCTTGAAGGCTCACAGTATACCTTACAACAAGGAACCAAGATGATCAATGTAAAAAGCATTTCTTCGTTGCTCCATTGATCACAGGCATATCCCCCGATCTGAAGAGTTTGAGCTGATCATTCAAAAATGCAGTAAGAGGCGTGAATCGTGCCGCTGATGAGGAAAAGAAATTAGACGAATTAACCAAATCGCTTTGTAATGGCCCCAATTTGCTAGCTGCGTTCCTCCCTAGAGCGAGAAGTGAAATGTTCTGGCAAGTTTCTTTTTTCGGCTTGAATGCAAGGGACCGACACTGGACTGATGCGGTATTCCCATGCTGATATGGAAGTACGGATACGCAAAGTGGACTGCAAGTGGTGAAAAACGGAAGAATCGTCAAAAACACAGGAAATGCAAGCCTTATGGCTCTACGCAGGGAGAATCCTAAGAGTCAGACGGAGGTATGCGAGAAAATGTAAGTTGGAAGGGTAAAGAAGCCCGAGTTGTAGGAACACTGAAGTTTAACATTGTGATACAGATAACTTATCGAACGGTGGGC